TAATCAGCATATTTTTGACAGTGCAGTAGAACATTAAATTTATAAATATAAATTACAACTGAAGATTTAGTTGCCTTTAGAATTTTGCATAAAATTAATACAGTAAAATGCAAATTAAAAAAAAGACACCCGTAACTTTCTTTTGGAGAAGTTTTCATCATAAATTCATAATCAGTTCAAAATCAGTTTCACAACTGCTGAACGGTGTGACTGCTATTGGCAAAAGTTTTCTGAGTTGCAAGAATCAGCACTGGTTTATCATCTCTCAAGTTCTGCTTCCAAGATTTCTCCCCACGTGTCGACATCCATTGGATACATGCTTTTGTCTGGCAAACTGAATTGAGAAGGAATGTTGCTGTATTTCCCACTTAGCCATTCTTGCTTCACTTTGCTTTTCCAGTAGTTTCTCAACAGTGTAATCTGGTGGAAAAACATAGAGACAGATCTCAGAAAGGAACCAATTTAAAATGCAATCAATATTGCAAGATTATACTAGAAGAATAGTGCTGGAAAAGGGATTTGTAATGTGCCTTTGGGATTTGGAATGTGCCTTTGGATATCTAGACCTTAAGCCCAGGAAGGTGCAATGCTGCCGAGAAGCAGAACATGTTCCACTTCCAACTTTTCTGTTCCTGCCTCAATTCTTTAGTGGTCAAGATGAAAACCCAAACCAGGAATTCCTCTTACTCCTTAAAAAAGGCACCTTTCACTTTCTGTTTAGGTTGTGACCTTTCTTTGGTTTGGAGGCCGGCTGGGTTCTTTTCTTCTGCCAGCCTTTAAGGGCAAGAAAATGTAGACTGGGTGTGTTTGTAGATTGTATTTCAAAACCCCTCCAGATAAAACTGACAATCAGCACAGGGAGTTCTGAAAATTGCTGTGCTAGGGTAGCAAGATCTGTACACTGAAAGGGTAACCACTATCTGCTCATGGCTCTGCCTCATACTGCAGAAAATTTATTGAAATGTCAGAATCCAGTGGCTGCTTTTGTTTCTTTTGCGGCTGCTTCTCTCTTTTCACCCCTCAAACACACCAGCTTAAATAAGGTGGGAGATTACCCTATAGCTGGCCCAGAGTAACCTGTGGAACCAGCGACCTGGTCTACCTGATCAGGTTCTGATCTATCTCAGCTTCCAGGCTGGATTCATCAGTGAGAGATCATCCAGCAGGTTCTGAAGCTGCACCTGCTGCAAACTCCTCAGAGCAGTCTGCATCTGGGGCGATTTTCTAAAAAGTTTATAAAAACTCCTGCTCATTTCTGTTGCTATAGGACACGAGAAAGTACAACATGAGCCACTGCGATGGCAAGGTAAAAAAGAAGGTTTATTTTCTGACTCCAACTTTTATACTTTTTTAAAGGTGACAGTGGATTGGAGAGTGAATGGGCCACCTCTCCAAAGACATTGGACAAACTACTAGTATGTCAACTTCCTCTACTCTCACGAAGGAATGTAAAAGAATATGTTGTTTATAGAAAATGTGTGGGAAAGTTTTCTAACAGAATGTAAACTCAGAAGGCTTTAGAAAATTTTAAGAATCAGGGTGACACATTTCCTTTTCTAGTCCCTTTTTTTTTTT